TTCCTCCTGCTACTCTTCTTGATGTAGTAGTATTTTTATGTCTCTCGTCCGACTGCTGAGTCCAAAATTGTAAGGAAATATTCTCCCTCACATCAATATCTCAGTGTGTTCATTATCGATTCATCTAAGTCTGTTCATATCTATCTATCTATCTATCTATCTATCTATCTATCTATCTATCTATCTATCTATCTATCTATTGTAACTGAGTTATCAAAACATCAGTGGACAACTGGAATTGGTTTAGCAACAAGTTTATTACCTTTTGGTACAGAATGTAGAATAGAAAATAGAGAATGTTTAGCCGTGAATGACTGTTTTCAGCAAAATCTGCTACTGTTCCTCCTGTTAGTCCTCTTGATGTAGGAGTATTTTTATGTCTTTTGTCCGACAGGCGAGTTCAGACTTGTAGGGAAATATTCTGTCTCACAATAGAAAGTAAAAATAAGAGCAATACATTTTCATAGTAAAAATATATTACCGGCAACACATTTTGAAAAGAAATACATTTTTATAAACGAAATTACTATTAAATTTTGGCATTAAATGACCTATAAAGCCACTAAGCAGACAAACATGTCATATGTTGATACAACCATAGCCTTTTTTTAATAAAAGTTTTTTCCATCTCAAAGATAAATAAACCTATTCAAAACCAAAGCTAAGATCTGGAATTGGAATGAAAACGGTGTGATAATACACACTGAATCCGTTAGAAAAATTCAGAATATGGAATTAATAAATACCAAACATTTCGAATACTTCATCGTATGGATCCGTTAAAACAGATTTAGTTTAGAAGGTAAGCAAATTTAACATAGAATAGGTTGCACCAAGGGTAGTTGTGCCTTACATAGCAAATTACTACAAAATCAAAACATTAACCTCAAAACTAGTCATGTACTTAATCAGAACGAAAGTTTTATCCGGAGGTCATGTAAACACACTAAACACGTTCAGAAATATCTAAACAGCTGCATACAGACATTTTTTCCTCCTTGAAATGTTTCAAAATAGCTTCGAGCAAATAAACTCTGTCGGCCTTAGAGAGTACCATCCTATTTCGAATACATGTTGACTGGTGCTACAGAAGAGAAACCACGTTACTTAATGACTCTCAACAGCAAAAATGGATACCACATATTACTCGAAGAGAAAATAATGACGTAATCAAGATGTTGAAGTTCCACACAACTTCAAACAAAAGCTTAGGAAGGAAATACCCATAAATACTTGAATGAGAGATAGCAGTAGACTTGAGAAGCCTGTTTTCCTGAAAAATTGTTTTAAGAAAAATATTTTATAAAGCTGAACCGACAGTAGCTACTTGATACTCGGCAAATATATAGAAAGCGTTTCCTTTTCGTTTATGACAAAAATTCTGTAAGCCAAACAAAATCGTACGCGGGCTACAAGAGGCATTTCTCCAAGAAGCCACCTGCTGCTTACAGGAATTAGTATCCTCAGTCTGGTTACTCACCTAATAATGTTCAAGTTTGAAGCAGCTTACCTCCACGATTTAGCGAAAAATGAGCCTATCAATATCAAATAACCGGAAGTTAGCCAAGAGGCGAGTGTTGGTGTGTGACATTTTCTTCGGATCGATTTAAAGTGAATATAATTTGTATGATCCACAGGCTCACCGTGTGAAGTCGTGTTTCAGTCTCTATTCCGCGCATGGAAAGATTCTTGATTTGAGCCAATAAATCATTTCTTTATTAGATGACTTGTCAAAAGGTCGGCAATAGTTTTTGAGGTATGACTCACATAAGAAGTTCGGGGATGAAAGCTCCATATTGTATGGCGCATATAAAACTAATTTCAAGTCTCACCAAAAGCCACACCATGAACCTTACTAAAGAGAAGAAAGTATAAAGCCACGAAAGGTAAAATGTAATTCAAACATGTGCACTATTTACATTATTAGGACTATTGTTCACATCTTTGGTATATTCAAGATATTATAGAAGTTCCACTCTCCGACATTCTACAGGCATCAATCTACCTATTATTTGTGGATCTTTGACAAATTACTAGCATATCCAGAGACGTGTGACAGTTCGATTTAAAGGGCTCCCGTCTCCCTATTTGTTGTGGACTGGTGACAACCAGCGACTGGTGGTAGCGTGCTTAAAAAAGGCTTCGATCTACCTATTATTTGCGGATCTGTGACAACGTACTAGCATATCCAGAGACGGGTGACAGTCCGATTTAAAGGGCATCCATTTATCCATTAGTTGGGGACCGGTGACATCAGCGACTGGTGGTAGCCTCCTTTAAAAGGCTTGAATCTACCCATTAGATACGGACCGGTCACAAGGCTCTAGCACATCCAGCGATGGGTGCCAGCCAGCTATAAAATGTTTCAGTCTACCTATGATTCACGGATCTGTGGCAACGTCCTAGCATATTCAGTGACGCGTGACAGTCTGATTTAAATGGCTTCCGTCTACCCATTAGATGCGGACCGGTGACAACGTCCTAGCACATCCAGCGACTGGTGGTTGCCTGCTTAAAAGGCTTCAATCTACCTATTATTTGCAGACGGGTGACAGTCTCATTTAAAGGGCTTCCGTCTACCCATTAGTTACATACCGGTGGCAACGTACTAACACATCCAGCGACGGCCAGTTTTAAACGGATCCAATCTACCTATTATTTGCGGATCTGTGACAACGTACTAGCATATCAATCGTCGGGTGGTAGCCTGCTTTAAAAGCCTTCAATCAACCTATTATTTGCGGATCTGTGACAACATACTAGTTTATCCAGAGACGTGTAATTTAAAGGCCTTCCGTCTACCCATTATTTACGGACCGGTGACAACGTACTGGCACATCCAGCGACGGGTGCCAGACTGCTTTAAAAGCCTTCAATCTACCCGTTATTTGCAGATTTGTGACAACGTACTAACATATAGGGCGAGATATGAAAGTTTAATTTAAATGGTTACTGCCTACCCATTAGTTGCGGACCCCTGCAAACGTACTAGCACATACAGTGACGTGTAACAGTCTGATTTAAAGGACTTCAGTCTACTCATTATTTGCGAACTGGGAAAAACGTACTAGCACATTCAGTGACTGGTCCAACCATCTTTAAAAGGCTTCAACATTCTATCCATTATTTGCGGACTTTGTGACAACATACTAGCATATCCAATACAATGTTCACTTTTATCCTTATATATATATATATATATATATATATATATATATATATGGATTTATTTGTTTAATAATTATATATATATATATATATATATATATATATATGGATTTATTTGTTAATTATATATATATATATATATATATATATATATATATATATATGGATTTATTTGTTTAATAATTATATATATATATATATATATATATATATATATATATATATATATATATATAAATGGCAGAAAGAACAGATGGTAGAAATCCAATTCTGTAGCAATTTTCTTTTAAATTTTCTGACATTATGCCCCCCTCCGTTTTTAACTTACGGAAAGAGGTAAGGATTTGTTTTTTAACTTTCCCTACTAAATCATTTTTATCATTAGTTATCTACCATCGCCTGAAGAAGTACCATCTTAGTATCGAAACGTGAAAGTTATTGGGTAGAGATGTACAATGTTTTTATTATAATATAAATATATATACATATATATATATATATAACTTCAGATTATAGTAATAATGTGTCATAGAATGTGCAGCTATTGTAACAGATGTTGCTATGAAGAATGGAATTAGTGAGACAAGTTCAAACCCCTACCTACTCTGTTGCATTCATTTTCACGCAAAAATCCCTTGGAAAGACATGAATCCACATCTTATCCTCCCAACTCTGGGTTAAATAGAAGAGTAACTTGTGATCTCTATCCTTGGGTGGCAACATAACTGGAAGAAGAAAAACCCTGAATCCTAAAGAAAGAATTAAATAGCAATGTTAATGTGATTAATGATGAAATTATTTCGCAATTCTTCCCATATGTTGTGCTTTGAAGATGACCATTTGAAATTGTCGAAAGTACTTGTGTTCTTATAGATATTTTTATTTTTAGAAAATAGTGCTCAATGTGAATTTACAGAGCATTAATATAATAAATTAATTGATTTAAAATATGTTTTTTCCGCTACACAGTTCTAACCATGTTTCAAAAATGGAAGCTCCGAATTTAATTTTGTAATTAAATTAAAGACATTAGTTCCATTTCATCCTCAAGCGAATTTTTCGCTTGAGGATGAAATGGAACTAATGTCTTTAATTACAATGTCAATCGCTATCTACTGCCCTCCTGGTTTCTCTTTTCTCTTTCTGCTCATTTTTAATGTTTTTGATCCTAATTCCTCTACACCCTGTGTCCCGTTGAAAGGCAGGACAGTTACTAGTTTTAATGGCTGTACTACCTTGCTTGCAGTGATAGTGATTGAAAAAAAAACTTCGGGTGTTGATCATTAGAAAAACTGGGTGGCCACCCAAATAAGAAAAAGAAGAAAAAGAAGCAGCGGGGATAAAAATGGTGAAAAATCGAATTATTTCGATGCGGTATTCATAATTTGTTATGTTTGCCTCATTCTAACAGCAAAGATGCATTCGCCGACATCTTTGTCTCCGTATGGACGAATTCCATCAAGCTCGTCAAGAATCTACAAATTACAGCATCTGAAGGATTTCTCAAAGCATTCCTTCTTCTCTTGAAGAATCGAGATGCTAACCCACACGTGACATTGGAACTGTTTTGATTCAGGAAATGGAATTAAGTTTAAAATGCTGGACTCAATATAGAAAAAAGGAAAGTAAAAAGAAAAGAAGAAGAAGAGAGAGAGAGAGGGGGGAGAGCAAGAGAAAAGAAGAGGGAGTATCAAAGAAAGAGTGAAGCATAAGGCGAACGAGAAAGAGAGAAATGGAGACAGACGGAGAGACAAAGAGAGAGCGAGTAAGACAAGTAAAGTAAGAGAAAGACAAAGAACAAGAGAAAAGAAGATGGCGGTAGCAAGTGAGTGTTAAAGAGTGTGTGCAAAAAAGAGAGCAATGGAGATTGAGCGAAAGAGAGTGAGAAAGAGACAGATAGAGAGACGTGAGAAAGAAAGAGATAACAAAAGAGTGAGAGAGAGGGAAAACAAGATGAAGAAAGAGATAACAAAAGAATGAGAAAGCGAGAGAGAGAGAGAGAGAGCAAGACAAGAGAAAGAAAGAAAGAGATAACAAAAGAATGAGAGAGAGAGAGAGAGAGAGAGCAAGACAAGAGAAAGAAAGAAAGAGATAACAAAAGAATGAGAGAGAGAGAGAGCAAGACAAGAGAAAGAAAGAAAGAGATAACAAAAGAATGAGAGAGAGAGAGAGAGAGAAGCAAGACAAGAGAAAGAAAAGAAAGATAACAAAAGAATGAGAGAGAGAGAGAGCAAGACAAAGAAAGAAAGAAAGAGATAACAAAAGAATGAGAGAGAGAGAGAGAGCAAGACAAGAGAAAGAAAGAAAGAGATAACAAAAGAATGAGAGAGAGAGAGAACAAAAGAAAGAAAGAAAGAAAGAATAAAAGAAGAGAGAGAGAGAGAGACAAACAAAGAAAGAAAGAAAGAAAGAATGAGAGAGAACAAAGACAAGAGAAAGAAAGAAAGAGACAAAAGAAAAGAGAGAGAGAACAAGAGCAAGACAAAGAAAGAAAGAAAGAGATAAAAAAATGAAAAGAGAGAGAGAGAGAGAGAGCAAGACAAAGAAAAGAAAGAAAGAGATAACAAAAAAAGAATGAGAAAGAGAGAAGAGAGAGAGAGAGAGAGCAAAAATGAGAGAGAAAGAAAAGACAAAGAAAGAAAGAGATAACAAAAGAATGAGAGAGAGAGAGAGAGAGAGAGAGAGAAGACAAGACAAAGAAAGAAAGAAAGAGATACAAAAAGAATGAAAGAAAGAGAGAGAGAGAGAGAGAGAGAGACAAGACAAGAAAGAAAGAAAAAAAAGAGATAACAAAAAAGAAAAAAGAGAGAGAGAGAGAGAGAGCAAGAGCAAGACAAGAGAAAGAAAGAGATAACAAAAGAATGAGAGAGAGAGAGAGAGAGCAAGACAAGAGAAAGAAAAGAAAAGAGATAAAAAAGAATGAAAGCGAGAGAGAGAGAGAGAGAGAGCAAGACAAGAGAAAGAAAGAAAGAAAGAGATAACAAAAGAATGAGAGAGAGAGAGAGAGAGAGCAAGACAAGAGAAAGAAAGAAAGAGATAACAAAAGAATGAGAAAGCGAGAGAGAGAGAGAGAGAGAGAGACAAGACAGAAAGAAAGAAAGAGATAGAGAATAACAAAAGTATGAGAAAGCGAGAGAAAGAGAGAGAGAGAGAGCAAGACAAAGAAAGAAAGAGATAACAAAAGAATGAGAGAGAGAGAGAGCAAGACAAGAGAAAGAAAGAAAGAGATAACAAAAGTATGAGAAAGCGAGAGAGAGAGAGAGAGCAAGACAAGAGAAAGAAAGAGATAACAAAAGAATGAGAGAGAGAGAGAGAGAGCAAGACAAGAGAAAGAAAGAAAGAGATAACAAAAGAATGAGAAAGGAGAGAGAGAGAGAGAGAGAGCAAGACAAGAGAAAGAAAGAAAGAAAGAGATAACAAAAGAATGAGAAAGCGAGAGAAAGAGAGAGAGAGAGAGCAAGATAAGAGAAAGAAAGAGATAACAAAAGAATGAGAGAGAGAGAGCAAGACAAGAGAAAGAAAGAAAGAGATAACAAAAGAATGAGAAAGCGAGAGAGAGAGAGAGAGAGAGAGAGAGCAAGACAAGAGAAAGAAAGAAAGAAAGAGATAACAAAAGAATGAGAAAGCGAGAGAAAGAGAGAGAGAGAGAGAGCAAGACAAGAGAAAGAAAGAGATAACAAAAAAAAGAGAGAGAGAGAGAGCAAGACAAGAGAAAGAAAGAAAGAGATAACAAAAGAATGAGAAAGCGAGAGAGAAAGAGAGAGAGAGAGAGCAAGACAAGAGAAAGAAAGAAAGAAAGAGATAACAAAAGAATGAGAGAGAGAGAGTATAAGAAAAGAAGAGAGAGATAGCAATTGTGTGTCAAAGAGGGTGATTGAAAAAGAGAGCAAACTAGAAAGGACACGATGGAGAGAGAAAGAGTTAAGGCAAGAATAAAAATCTGTGCAAATACAGGGTGAATTTAAATAGAAAAAATATTTTAAAAATAATCAAAAAAGGAAAAAAAAAAATTTCATGAAGAAAAAAATGAGTGAAATTAAAATAAACGAATAAAACATAAAGGGAATAAAATAAAATAATGAGTCCCCCCATCCCCCGCGAAAGAAAACCGTCTTGGGTAAGACAATAAACTACATCCGCTTCCTGGGTAAGAGGATAAACTATGTCCCCGTCCTGGGTAACACGATAAACTACATCCGAGTCCTGGGTAAGACAATTAACTACATCCGCGTTCTGGGTAAGACAATAAACTACATCCGCTTCCTGGGTAAGAGGATAAACTAAGTCCCTGTCCTGGGTAAGACAATAAACTACATCTGCGTTCTGGGTAAGACGATAAACTACATGCGTGTCCTGGGTATAACGATAATCTACATCCGCGTTCTGGGTAAGAGGATACGTTACATCCGCGCCCTGGGTAAGACAATAAGCATGCATCCGCTTTCTGGGTATAACGATAAACTACATCCGCGTCCTTGGTAAGACAATAAACTACATCAGCGTTCTGTGTAAGACGATAATCAACATCCGCGTCCTGGGTATGACGATAAACTACATCTGATATTGTTTTTGAGAAAAAATATTACCAACAAGACATTTTTGAAAAAATATATATTACCAGCAATAAAAATCTTAACTCCAGGCTGCAATCGTCAGGCCGCGAATGCTGGATATTTCCTCGGCTATTTATATGAATGGGTCAGTGGTGCTTTGTGGGTAATCTATTCTGGCGGTTATTTTTACGGGAGTGGCTTGTTTGTTTATTTATTTGTTTGGGTTAATTTATTTGTTTTTCATTTTCATTTTGAATTATTTATTCGTTTTTTGATGTTTTATTAACGTAGTAATAAAATTGGGGGGAAATTTGCTTAGGTCGCTTATTTAATAGTTTTGTCGGCATCCATTGAGGTTGATTTTCCGTAAAACAAAAAACCAAACCAAAGCAAACAACGCAACGCAAAAAAAGAGAGTAGGAGGCCAGGACTAGAGGGAGAGAGAAAGACAGTGAGTAAGTGTGTGTGTGTGAAAGAGAAAGAGAGAGAGAGAGAGAGAGAGAGAGAGAGAGAGAGAGAGCAATTTAGTGTCAAAGAGTGTGAATTAAACGGAGAAACAGACATTTTTTTTAATCATTTCACCCCAAACAAACCGGGAATGCCACTGGTTCGCAAGGGGTTACAGAGAGTAAAGTTGAAAAAAAATTAGTTTATAGGGAGGATTAAGGAAAGGATAAAAGATAAACAGGATGAACGTTGCCTTTAATCTTTTGAAGATTGTATTTATCAGGGAAACAAGTAAATGTAAAGAGTTCCACAGGCAGGAAGTGCGAGAAAATAAACTGATGGAGTAGAAGTGTCCGTTACATTTAACTATTTCAACAGTAAACGAGTGAGACCTAAATGCCAATCTAGTAGTACACTTAAAGTCATGTAGTCGAGGTACGAGGGAAAAAGGCTCGTCAGAGCAGTTGCCATGAAAATATTTGTAGAAAAGACAGAGGGAAGTCACGTCATGTCAGTGAGAAAGTAACAGAAATCAATATGTCGTGTCAGGATTGATTGCATTACAGACCTTTCAGTGAATTTGGTTAAGAATATACAGCAAGAACACCAGACCAGATGTGACAACAGTATCCATGGGCGAATGGCAGATTTATAAATGTACAAGATGGATTCCGACGCATGCAAAGAAACTATTCAAATAGAACACACGGCTGCATCTAGCAAGTTCAAAGGTAAATAGGTGAGACCTATTTGCCAATCTAGTAGCGTACTTATTTTCATGTAGCCAAGACACTAAGGAAAACAGCTCATCAGAACGATTTTTTTAATCGATTCACCCCAAGCAAGGCGAGAAGCCACTGTTACGCAAGGGGTTACAGAAGATTTGGAGCGAGAGCAAATAGGAGTGATAGATGAAAGGATGAGGAGAAGGATAGTGGGTAGATCAAGGTTACTGGAGATGTCGATTGACATTACATTTGAATAGTTGGAGATTATAGCTGTCAGGGAAACTGGAATAGAGAAGGGAGTTCCACAGGCGAGAGGTGCGAGATATGAAGCTATTGGAGTAGAAGACACGGCTACATTTAACAGTTTCAATAATGATAGGTTGAGAGCGGGATGCCAGCTTCGTAGAACGTCTGGGAACCAGCGAATGCAGCTCATCGGAGCAATTACCATGAAAGTATTTGTAAAAAAGACAGAGAGAGGCTACGGTGCGCCTGTGAGAGAGCGACAGCAGACGAGATGCCAGATCAGGACCAATTATATTGCTGGATCTTATCAAGAACCCCGAGGCAAACAGAAGGGGCTCCAGGATTGCCATGAAAATATTTGTAGAAAAGACAGAGGGAAGTCACTTAGGTGAGAAATTGACTGAAGTTGAGATTCCTATCTATTTCCAATGAAACTAGACCCGGAGACAGAAGGACGTATATTTATGGAGATGCAATATATTACAAAAATAAGGTCTTCCAATTCACAAAGAAACATAATATACGATTTGATCAGAACTTATACGGATGGAAACTTATCAATTACAAAATGATATTATTGAGAATATAAATTAGAAAAGTAATTTCATAAGAGTTAGATGTACTTTAAACAATATGCCAGGGAAAAAAAGACTCGTCAGAGTCGTTGCTATGAAAATATTAGTAAAAAAGACAGAGGGAAGCCACGTTACGTCAGTGAGAAAGTGACTAAAGTGGAGATGCTAAGTCAGGATCGATTATATATTTGGATTTTGTCAAGAATCTCGAGATAAATAGTAGGAGCATTAGACCAGATATGACAACAATATTCAATGCACGGACGAATGGTAGATTTGTAAATATGCAAGATGGACTCTGACGAGAAAAACCTTCTGGCACGGCACAGTGACCCAACTTTCCTTGCAGTAGATGCAGCTATTGATTCAATGCACTCATTCCACTCCAAGTCAGTGGAAAATGTGAATCCGAGAAAGTAAGAAAGTTAGAAAGTAAGCGAAAAAAAAAAAAATGAAGGAAGGAAAATAAATATATTTTTGAAGAAAAGAAACGAAAAAAGAATGAAAAATATCAAAGAAAGAATGAACAATAGAAAGGAAAAACACGAGAGAAAAAAAAGAAGCAGAATAAAACGGAAAAGAAGCATTTAAAAGAAAAAAATGAGAAAGAGAATATGTGTGAAAAGAAAACGAATGAAGAGAGAAATTACAAGATGGCGATGAAGGGATGAGAAGGCGGATGTGAAATCACGAACCAGTTATTGAATGGCTAACAATAAAACAAGAAGAACGAGCGTTGAGGTAGTCGGTTGGAGGGGTAGGTTGTGATGGCGATAGTTGCCATCGCAAGTTCTTTGAAACGCTAGTCAGGGTTGGCTAGTCGCTTGGTCGAGCGTTCACGCAAGATCAGCCACTCAACTTCCGGTTATCGTTAAATCTCCTTGTCCCTCCCGGCAACCCGACCCACGTCTTCGATCGGGGCTTATGGTATGCTTGACTGGAAGGGTAAGACGGCCAAGTAAGAAATGGAGGACTAAGAGATTTTGGGAAGAAGAAAGCTGGATAGCCAGTGAAAAGAAGATGAAATATGATGAAAGTCAGTGAAATCTGTCGAAAAGGTTGAAGGAAGCGACAAAAAGTTGGGGGGGGGGGAAAGAAACAGACGGACGAATTAATGGAAAGAAAGAAGTTGACTTATAGAGAAAAAGAATGGCTTTCGAGGGGAAAACAAGACCATTATTTGTGAAATTAATTAACGATAAATGAAAGAAAGGAAAACAAAAAAGAAAAATAAACGTGATTAAACGTCTGTGAAATAAACGAACACACAACTTACAAACACACTCGCGTCCATATATATACTGTACTAAAAGAAATTCCTTTTTCACACACACATATAAACACACACACACACACACACACATACATATAAACACACACAAGCACACATATGTATATATGAACACACGCACAGACACACACACGCACATATATATATATATATATATATATATATATAATATTATTTTTAATTTATTTTGTTTAAACGTTATTTTTTATGGCTACTCATATTAGGGTAGAAGCTCTGTCTTCTGAAATCAAACAGTATTTTTTTATCGAACTACATCTACCGACCTGAATATTCAAAAAATCTTGTCAGAAAAATATGCGTCCTCCGACAGGATCCATAAAAAATAACGTTTAAACAAAATAAATAAAAAAATAGCATCATGTCAGATATAATCCATTTCCTATTATATATATATATATATATATATATATATATATATATATATATATATACAGGTAAAAAATTTGTGGGAAAATAATCCAAGGGAATAATATAAATATTGAAATTGATCCACAAAGACAGCTCAATTTATTTATTACAGAGCATATATATATAAATTACTTATAAATGAAATTCAATACCCCATATATATGGCCATTTCACCCCGTAAGAAGAAAAAATTCTACCGGGGTTTATCAACACCAAACAGAAGATTGAATTCTATTTATATCCAATATATATATATTTCTTTTTTAAATTGTTTTATTTCTTTAATTGATCTCTCTTAAATAGTAAATGAACCTTTTCTTCTGTTATCGATTTTGTTTCATATCATTGGATTTTCCTCCTGGTGTACAATTTTGCTTTGCTCACAAATTTTAAAATTGGTTAATTTTACATTTTATATACAAAACGTAACTTTTTTTGTTATATATATATATATATATATATATATATATATATATATATATATATATATATATATATATATATATATATAAATATAAAAAAAAAAAGAAGAGAGGTGCCGCAAACGTTTTTGGATGTAATGTGTTTTTAAAAAAATATTATGCTTTGGAAAATACAGCATAATATATAAAAAAAAAAAATCCACATTACAACCAAAAAACGTTTGCACCTTTCTTTTTCTTTTAATACATTTATATATATATATATATATATATATATATATATATATATATATATATATATATATAAAAAAAAACTTACGTTTTGTATATATAGGTTATATAGGTTATTATTAATTTATTTTGTTTAAATGTTATTTTTCATGGCTACTCATTCCTGTAAAAGCTCTGGCTTTTAATTAAACAGTATTTTTTTATCCAGCTACTTCTACTGACCTGAATATTCGAGAAATCTTGTCCAGAAAATGTTCAAATACTGTTTAAATAAAAAAAGAACGTCTACTCCAATATGAGTATCCATAAAAATAACGTTTAAACAAAATAAATTAAAAATAACAGTATGTTGGATTTAATTCATTTCCTAAAGATACGAATAATTATACACACAAAGATAAAAAAATTTGATCGTTTAAATGATGTCACTTTGGGATACTTGAAATTGGTTCCATCAAACTTGAGAACAACAGAATTAAACAAAACCAGTTGCTTAAATCTACACAGAATAAAATCCTTGAAGACGAATGTAGCAACATTTGAAAGTACTCGGGAAAAATATTGTCAAATAAAAAATCTATTAACTTTGGAGAATTTGTCGATAACGCAAAAAAACAAATCCGGAAATTTGAAAAATTTAAAAAAAAAACTGATAGACAGAACTTGTCCATGTTATTTAACTAAAAAAATATATATTTCTCCACTATATGCCCGAAGGAGTTACTGCTATTGAAATACACACTACGCACACCCTATATATATATATATATATATATATAATTCATCGAGTCTGACAGAAACCTCAACAGAATACAGAAAGTACTGGACGGCCGTTTCGTCCTATATTTAGGACTCATCAGCAGTGCGCATCCACTACCGAGAATTGAAACCCTTACAGTTAGGTTGTCAAGCGAACATCATACCAACTGTTCCAAACGAGCCTCGGTGACGTAGAGATTCCAAATCAGACTCAACTTAGCGCCGCTCGCTCACAAATTCCGTGGCGGAACTCAACTGAGTTCTCTGTAACCATAGGACTGTACCCCCTAGAGCCACGACTACTCTCACCAAGCCGCTACCAACTGGAGCATTAGAAGCCGGTTCAAGCGATGATAAACACAGATAGTAATTATTAAGAGGATTTGATAATTATATTTAATTAATTCATCGAGTCTGATAGAAACCTCAACAGAATGCAGAAAGCACTGGACGGGCGTATATATATATATATATATATATATATATATATATATATATATATATATATATATATATATATACATGAACATTGAAGTCAACACTCAGAGGTGACAGGCTGTTTCATGCTGGACGCAATCATCAGGCCGCGAATGCTGAATTTTTCCTCGGCTATTTATATATTGGTCAGTGGTGCATTGTGGGTAATCTATTCTAGCGGTTATTTTCACAGGAGTGGCTTGCTTGTTTATTTACTTATTTATATGTTTGGCTTAATTTATTTTACTTGTTTTTCATTTTCATTTTGTATTATTTATTCTTTTCGTTTTTTGATGTTTTATGAACGTAGTAATTTTTTTTTTAGGTCGCTTATTTAATAGTTTGTTTTGGTCTGGGAAGACAATGAAAGCTATTTATTCGTCCAATGTTTAGATTGCTTGCCGTAGTCTATTCTGTTATTTTGACGGGTGGACAGTTTCTAATTTATTTATTTAGATTATTTTTACTTCTCCATGCACATTTTTATTAGTTCTAACGGTTATTTTAGCGGGGGCGATTTGTTAATTTGTTCATTTATTTGGATTAATTTTATTAGTTTTTTTTATTTATTTACTTATTTTGTTATTTCTGAATATTCTGTTCTATTTGGTTTTAGATTTTTGAGTAATGTAGTGATGTTTTACTTTATCGATATATAGCAGTTATAGTTATTTTTACGTCCAATTTTTGTATTGGTTGTCTATTCTGATGGTTATTTTGGTGGGATTGGTTTGTTAATTTGTTTATTATTATTTACTTTATTTACTTATTTGAGTTGATTGTTTTTACTTGATTTTCATGTATTTTATTTTTATTTTTATTTATTCTATTTCGTCTATTCTATCGGGTGTGGTTTGTTAATTTGTTTATTATTTGTTTGGGTTAATTTATTTTACTTGTTTTTTTTTATATCATTTTGTTTATTTGTATTTATTCATTTCAGTTTTCGATTTTTAAGTAACGTAGTAAAATTTGTTTTTATGTCTGCATTTTGAAATGAGATTAGATCGTTTATTTAGTAATTTATTTTGGTCTGGGAAGGTAATAATAGCTATTTTCCTCCAAGGAAAGTTTGCAGGTTTTTGATTGATTGTTGTAGGCTGACGATCTTTTCCTTATTTTCCATGACATTTATGGTGTGATTTTTGTTTTGTTTTTAATTTCCCAGATATACTTGGAAATTATTGTACTGTTCGCGTATTTACTATTTGTGAAAGATATTGCCTATATAGTGTTTCTCAATTTATTTTCTATGTATGACTAGTATATTTGTTAAATTGTTATTTATAAATTCTATTTTAAACCCATAATGGTTTTGGAAGTGTTTGTGTTTATTTTAAGATTATTTAGATCGGAAATGTTTTTCTGGATAGTGGACGTGACGGAGTTAGTCTGTAGTATTATGTATCTGCTCTCATATAATATATTATTACAGGCGATGTTTTTATTTTTCTTACGGTTCTATATTTTGTATGCCTTTCTTCTTGCGTTGTGGATGAAATGATATGAGCATCTATGAGCACAAATAATTCTTCAGTTGACTTTATGAATATACAGTAGCTTTTCTAACGACATTTTGTTTGTTGTTTATTGATACTTTGTTTCAATAAAATCATTTCGATATTTTGCCTTGAAAAAGTCCATATTGGACGAAATGCGTCGGCTAAATCTATAGTTTTCCTATTGTCTTTTTTCCTTTATACATATTATCTTTTTCTACAAGTTAATCATGAGAAATTTTCACGCACACACACACACACACACACACACACACACACACACATATATATATATATATATATATATACAAAAAGAATAAATCAAAGAAAAAATAGTGAGAAATAATGCAAAAAAAAAAGAAAATGGTAACATAGAATGGAATTAAAGTAAAAGAGAAAATGTGAAAGAAAAAACTGGAAATGAATGAAGAAAGCGAAAGATCGAAAGAAAGAATAATTAGGAATAAGCCAAAAGAAAGAAAGAAAGAAAGAAAGAAAGAAAGAAAAAGAATGAATGGATGAATGAAAAAGTAGAAAGAAAGAAAGAAAGAAAGAAAGAAATAATAAAACAGAACTGTGACGTATAGAAAGAAAAATAGAAAAGAATAAAATAAGAAAGAGAAAGAAGAGAAAAGGAAAAGAATAAAGCAAAAGAAAGAAAGAAAGATAGAAAATAAAAAAAGGAAGAAAGAAAAACGAAAGAAAGAATAAAACAGGAATAAAATAAGAAAGAGAAAGAAGAAAAAAGGCAAAGAATAGAGCAAAAGAAAGAAAGAAAGAAAAAACGAAAGAAAGAAAGAAAGAAAAAAGAAAGAAAGGAAAAAAGAAGGAAGAAAAAGAGAAAGAAAGAAAGAATAGTATAGAAGGAGTGAAAGAAAAACGAACCGAAAAATGTGCTCTAAAGTTTTTCTTTAGTGGTTTTTCTTTTTTTCTTTTTTAATTTCATTCCCCTGCCTCCGCCCGAGTAACTGGGGAAATGCCTACCACCCCACTCCACGTCCCATTTTCTTGCTTCACGCCATTGAACATTTGTTTTCATCTGTGTTGCAGAAAATCTTGATGCCTATCGATCGGCGTAACTCTTCGATTTGACGATCGTTTGACTGCCATTTCATGAAATATAGTGGGCCAACAACCTCGGCTTTAGGAAATGTCGACCCACCGTATACATCAAGAGAAATATACGGCGAATGAAAAGTTGAAAATGACTGACGCCCTTCATCACAGACCCTGAAATAACCACCGTCATAGCCTCTAAAATAACCACCCTCCGTCATAGCCTCTAAAATAACCATCCTCCGTCATAGCCTCTAAAATAAACACCTTCCGTCATAGCCTCTAAAATAACCACCGTCCGTCATAGCCTCTAAAATAAACACCTTCCCTCATAGCCTCTAAAATAACCACCCTCCGTCATATCCTCTAAAATAAACACCTTTCGTCATATCCTCTAAAATAACCACCCTCCGTCATATCCTTTAAAATGTAAAAGTTTCCTTTTGGAAGTGTTAAAGTTTAAAAACCATTTCTTGCCTGTGTTAACTTATTGAAGGTCATTTAGGAGCTCACGTGCCACTTTTATTTCATCTAATATACCAGACTTACTATTAAGACAAGAGTAAATACCTGTACCATCAGCTTAAATACCAAGTTGAGAATTGATAACATCAGGAACTTTGTTGATGAAGATAAGAAATCATTTTATTCCGATGATATATCCCTGAGGGATCTCTTCGTTGGCATGAAATGATCTAGAAGAGTGGCCGTTCCATAAGATTTTCATTACACGATTTGTTAAGAATGATTGAGTTAAGTCAAAACTTCGGCCAAAGTCACCATAGCTAATCAGCTTGTGAAGAAAACCAACTGTCAACCGCCTTCGAGATATCTAAAACCCCAAAACCAGCGTCGCCTTTTCTTATCTAAAGTTTGGCATAATCTTTCAGTAATAAGCATACTATTATGAATTGAGAAAAAGGACAACATCAGAAGTTTTATTTTCAGTATGAACAGGAGCGTCGGTTTAGAATAATGAAAAAGAGGCTCCGATAAAATAGACGCCTCTACCAAATGTACCGTATTTCTTGGCTTCTAATAGGCTCCGATAAATTAGAGCCCCTCACCACCAAATGTACCGTATTTCGTGGCTTGTAAGAGGCTCCGATAAATTAGAGGCCCCCCACCAAATGTACCGTATTTCGTGGCTTGTAAGAAGCTCCGATAGATTAGAGGCCCCCCACCAAATGTACCGTATTTCATGGCTTGTAAGAGGCTCCGATAGATTAGAGCACCCCCCACCAAATGTACCGTATTTCGTGGCTTTAAGAGGCTTCGATAAATTAGAGGTCCCCCACCAAATGTATTGTATTTCTTGGTTTCTAATAGGCTCCGATAGATTAAAGCCCCCCACCAAATGTACCGTATTTCTTGGCTTCTAATAGGCTCCGATAGATTAGAGCCCCCCACCAAATGTACCGTATTTCGTGGCTTGTAAGAGGCTTGATAAATTAGAGGCCCCCCACCAAATGTACCGTATTTCTTGGCTTCTAATAGGCTCCGATAGATTAGAGCCCCCCCACCAAATGTACCGTATTTCGTGGCTTGTAAGAGGCTTCGATAAATTAGAGGCCCCCCACCAAATGTACCGTATTTCTTGGCTTCTAATAGGCTCCGAT